CCAGAAATTGACAATCAAAAAAAAAAACCTAAAGTAAATCTCACCCAAACGTCAAAATCCTATATCGTGGGGGGTGGGGTGGGGGTAGTGGTGACTTCTATTGCCGCAAATGTTTAACTTTTCATACCTATTTTACACATATTCGTGTTTACCAGGGGGGGATCTGCATTTTCCAAGGGGGGTCTATTGTAACTTTTTCCTTGTTTTAGTATATACATTTTTTAACCTTGTAAATTCCAGGGGGGGGTCCTGACCCCCCTCCCCCCCCCCCGACAGATCCGTGCATGAATTTACATCATTAATAAAATTCAGACTGGTATATAATGAATTAAGCATTTATAAAATAAATATAAGAGGTTCTGGATTATAGGTCACAGGGTCTGAGAATTTCATACTCAATTTGATGAATACATGTAAATTATAGAATTATTTTGACTATTTCTTTGGAAAGCCGCCCAATATGTAGGAGCGTGTATTTAGAGGCAAACACCTTAGTGCGGGTATTACTGTCTCATGACAGCATCTAGTTGTGTAGTGTAATCCTCAGCTATATTTGGAAACTCCTTCCTGATGTCAGTTAAGGATGTTAATTGGGTTGCAAGTGATGCAATTTTATCTGCCGTCTGCTTTGACAAGCCTGTAATAATTTCTGGAAATGGCACGTCATATTGTTTATTTTCATCTTCAAAGAAAGCTAACAAGATCCTTGATAGTTCATTCAATTTTTTTTTCTTTGAAATTTGTTTGGCGGGTGGAGAAACAATCTCGCACTTATTAACTTCCTCTGCAAAACAGTTGTCGCATGGGCAGGATTTTTCGCAAATATCACAACATTCATGCATCTGACTGAGTTTGTTAAAAGTGTAACCGAAATGTTCAGATATAAATTTCCTGCGACAAGAGTCGAGCAAACAAAAGCTCTTACTTCATTTTTGACGTGTGGCGTCCCAATGTCATTCATATTGAAAAACAGAGTTGCACTACACCCCTGTTCATCCCGTCCAGCTCGTCCTACTTCTTGGAGATAAGCTAAAAAATCAACACATGTACATTTAATGGTATGGCTGACTTGACATTTTTACAGACTTTCTAAAGTCTCTATGGTTTTGTGCTCTCATTAATGTTTTTGATAATGTCAAACATCTATAATTTATGTTATTTTAACATTTAAGTGTAGCAGAGAGCAAAGAAAACAATATAAAAAAAATGAACAACGAATTTTAAAAAAAGAGAGACTTAAGAAAGTCTATCCATTTTTGTACATTGTCCTTTACCCTTTCAATTGGATATTTATGCAGAATAAATTATTAATTTTTTTTAAAATTTATATATATGCATTACTAAAATAGATACTTTCAAGTGAACTTGGAGGTCCTATATGAATAACTTGATGTACATCAGGGGGGTCAGCTCCCATTCCGTATGCCTCTGTGGCAAAAAGCAGTCTAATCTTGCCCTCTTCTGTTGACATGTCTTTACTTACCTCTACTTTCGACTAAATGAATAAAGTAAATTTTTAATGAACAATAAAATATAGGTTACAAATACAAAGTAGAATAGATTTCTTTATTTTAGGTTTATAAAAGGCAAATTTACCTTTTCGGTGCAAGACGCATGGAATTGTGACACCCGTTGAATTAAATGATGAGTGTTTAGTTCTAGCGCCTTTCGTTTGGGAATTAAAGGGAACTCACGTTTGGGTCAACGAACAGTACCCCCCGGAGGTTGAAGAGCGGCGTAAAAAACTGTACCCTGTTATCCGTCAGGCCAGAAAAGAACACAGGCGTGTTAAACTCGTAAAAGACACTTTGTATGTTGATGGCGAATTGTACGTGCCCGAAGATCAGGAATCCGCTCCACGCATGGAAGTGACGCGCTTGCTCGATCAAGCAGCAGGAGGGCATTCGGCCAACCTCGCAAACACACCGTGGACTCATCGCGGAACCCCCACAGGTACTAACCGTGCAAACAGTGACAGTGATACAGACACTAGATCACCGGTACACAAAAAATTCCGTTATAATGGTCCATTTTCTTCCACATACTAGGACAACGCCGGAGGCCAGACAGAAAATAATGAAATAAAGTTTTTATCATTAAATGTTTGTGGTGTAAATAGAAGACTTCAGTATACGGAATTTAATGATCTTATTTCTTCTTATGATATAATTGGTTTAACTGAAACTAAAACAGACGACACTGATAATTTGCAAATACCTGGATTTTCTACTTTTTTAAAAAACAGATGTAAATTATCAAGAGTAAAATCAGGTGGCATTGCTTTATTAATTAGAGATTCCATTGTCAAGTATATCAAAATAATCAACACAGATTGTAAATATGTATTATGGTTCAAATGTAATAGATCGCTATTTCATCTCGAGGAGGACATTTATTTTGGTATTGTATATATCCCTCCAGAAAATAGCAAGTATTCATCCCCAGATTGTTTTACTGAAATAGAACAAGAGCTCATGTCTATATCCAATGATTGTAAATATGTTTGTTTGCTGGGGGATTTTAATTCCAGAGTGGGCAAATTGAATGACTTTATTATAACAGATGAATTTTTAACAAATGTTAAACAATGTGATTCTGGCGTTGATAATAATGATATTGAAACGTTTTTTGATAATGTAAACATTCCTCTTGACAGGACTGTAAAAGATTTTTCAAATAATAACTTCGGTTATAAGATGATAGATTTTTGTATAAATAATAATGTGTATATTGTCAATGGTCGCGTAGGTGGCGATAGAGATGTAGGAGCACTCACTTGTAAAAATACTAGCACAGTCGATTATGTTCTAGCAAGTATGGAAATGTTCAAACTGTTAAGAAACTTTGACATCCTATAATTTTGTGAAATGTTTTCAGACGTACATAGCCCTGTTTCATTTAGCATTGTTATTGAGCAAATTATATCTACCGTTAGTAACACACCTGTAAATAACCAATCACGTGTAACGCTCTGGTCGAATGACAAAGCAGACGATTTACGTGAGAACATTGACAAGTCTATTTTAAAAAGTATCGAACAAGAACTATTAAATTTAAGAACCTCAAATAATGTTACTAATGAAAGTGTCAACAATGTAATTTCAAGAATGTGTGATACATTTTTCAATGCTGCTGAGAAATCATTCGGAAGGAAAAGTTTTCGAACTTATAATGTAAAGAAAAAAGATAAACCATGGTTTAACAGTAACTGTAAAACAGCAAGGAGAAAATTTCATTTAGCGAAGCGCATAAATAACGCAAATAAAACAAGTGAAAATAAAGAAAGTCTGAAGAAAGCAAGTACCCAGCAGGCATTTCAACGTTGATTCAACGTTGAATCAACGTTGCACTTCAACGTTGAATCAACGTTGAATTTTGGTTGCATATGAAAGTTGAGTCAACGTTGAGATGTAACGTTGTTTCAACGTCAATTTTCAACGTTGAATCAACGTTGAAAATGGGTTGAATTTTTGGTTGATTTCTGGTTGATTTTTGGTTGCAAATGAAAGTTGAGGCAACGTTGAAGCTTCAACGTTGTTTCAACGTCAAATATCAACATTGAACAAAAGTGAACATTGGTTGAAATTAGGTTGAAATTTGGTTGAAATTTTTCGGTTGAACAAACGTTGATATTTGATTGAAATCACGTTGAATTCATATTACATTTTGCTTTAAAAACAAATACATTTTAAATTCTAATAAAAATTTTTATTCAAGTTGCGTAATATTTAGATAAGTTGTAATCCAGTATTATGATTGTGAGAGAAATTATTTTACATTTATTTTTAATACAAACACAAATTCGGATTCATGCAATCACTGAATCTCAAAAATAACTGCTTGACAAAATTTATATTCCTAGTGAAAAGTGGGTCACAGTAATCACATCCAGGTCCTTCAATGTACGCCTCTGCCTTACACTACTAAGTTCCACAAAGTGGCGGATCCATTGATTTTAATCACGCATATAGTTAAGTCCCACGAATGAAAGAAATGAACATTTTTTTAATATCAGGAGAATCCACCCTCTAAAGCAAAAGCCTATTGATAAAAGAAATAAAGATGTTAAAGCCATTTGTTCGATAAAATGTACGTAACACGTTATTTCAAACGATAAAAATAAATATACATGGATGATTTAAAAAATAAGACAAAGGAATATATTCCGGTACTTGGATTTAATTAACATGATTAAATTTAAAGAATTATAGTTGACTTCATGTTAAATTCGTATGAGTATGCTTATAAATAATTATTACTAAAGAAAAATGTTATAGACATACATATACATAGTGTACTTACAAAATGTTGCATTCCTTTGTATAATTTTCACGAGCGAATTAAGAATCTGATGCAATCAAGGTTGACTATACAATATCAATTCCCTGCACCACTGGTTGGTTTAACATTACGACGAACTACAATTAGTTAAATTGTATAATATATAAGTACACTAGCTTATATTTCATAACCAAATGAATATCAACAAGAGATGTTTGTAAAACACTTATGCCCCCCTCCCCCCAAATTGGAATTTTTCCAAGTCCAAGGGGCAAAACTCTGTCAAAAATGGCACGATTGTACCCAAAACAGAACTTGACCTAGATATTCATCTGATAAATCTGTATACTAAAATTTATCTCAGCATGTGCAATGGTTGTGAAGAAAATGAATGGAAACTGCAAATAGTTGGATTTTTTCAAAGTCCAAGGGGCATAACTCTGTGAAAAATGGTGCGATGGTACCCAAAACAGAATTTGACCTAGATATTTATTTGATATATCTGTAAACAAAATATCATTTCAGTATGTGCAACGGTTGCAAAGAAATTGAATGGAAACTGCAAATAATTGAAATTTTTCTAAGTCCAAGGGGCATAACTCTGTGAAAAATGGTGCGATCGTACCCAAAACAGAACTTGGCCTAGATATTCATGTGATATATCTGTATACTAAATTTCATCTAAGTATGTGCAACGGTTGTAAAGAAAATGAACGGAAACTGCAAATAATTGGAATTTTTCTAAGTTCAAGGGGCATAACTCTGTCAAAAATGGAGCGATCATACCCGAAACAGAACTTGGCCTAGATATTCATGTGATATATCTGTATACCAAATTTCATTTCAGTATGTGCAACGGTTGCGAAGAAAATGAACGGAAACTAAGTGGACCGACAGACCGACGGACCGACAGACCGACAGACCGACCGACAGACAGCAGCAAAGCAATATGCCCTCCCTTCTTCGAAGGGGGGCATAACAAAACACATAATACAAGAACCAAGGTTGTGCATTTCACGCAGATTTCAAATATACATGTACTTATAAAACAAGAATTAAATGATGAACAGATTCTAAAAAAACTTAATTTCTTAAATTCATGAAAAGGAAATAATACTTACTGATCAGAAGTTGATATTCCAGCCTTAATCCTTGTGTATAATAGCTTGAAAACACATTAAATATGAACAGCAAGTAGACGCGCACTTCTTGTCCATCAGTTGAATTCAAATATTGACCTAGATAAGCTGCAAACAGCTATACTCTGCCCAGCAAGAAAATTGCATAACAAGGTTATCCTGACACTGAAACTGACCAACTAAGCGAGAGGCACTCCTTATCTGATATCTCGAAGGCTTTTTGGGAGTGTATCTTAAGTAATGCAACTTGACCGGGGTTAATTGTCAGTGTGAAAATTCTTATGAGTTTATTTGAATTTTTTTTATATTTTGTGAAAAGAAAGATTCTAGAATTAATACACACAACAAAAGCACAATCTAATAAGATAAGACTTCTTAGATCCGCTCTGTATACGTATAATCTGCACAAGAGTATACGGCACGGATCCATATGAGTCTAATTTTAAGAACATTAATTCGGAATAATTATTTATTAATTGTATAGTAACATGGAATTACAGTGAGATGTTGAATAAAGATGTTATTATTTATTAAAAGCTTATATTTAACATATTTTATAAATATGTCCAAAAAAATAGCATTCACAATTTATTTAAAAAAAATAATCTTTTTTGAAACATAATTATAATGAAGTGTTAAATGCAGATGCCATGCTTCATATAAACTCATATTTAAAATTTTATAATGGTACTAGCTATTGGCACAACTCTTTTGAGTGAATCAATTTATAATGTATGCGTTTCATTTATTAAGTATTATTATTATATATATAATATTTTCTAACAATGCAAACAGCTGTGTGTATATTGCGAAAAATCGCATGGATTAGAAGTTAAAGACACCTTTATATTTTGAACTTAAAAACTAAAGTGCTCAATACTTGTTACCCGTTTTTCAACGTTAATAATTCCTAACTTTCCTAAAGTTGAAAATAAGTTGCATCTTCCACGTTGTTTCAACGTTGAAATCAAGAGACAGTAAACTTTGCATTTTTAAACCTCGTTTTAACTCTGTATAATCAGAAAATACTCAACGTTGAAAACATGTTGAATCTTCAACGTTGTTTCAACGTTGAATATTGACGAGCATTCAACGTTGAAAATATGTTGCAGCTTCAACGTTGTTTCTACGTTGAAATATTAACGAACATCGAACGTTGAATATATGTTGCAGCTTCAACGTTGTTTCAACGTTGAAATATTGACGAACATTCAACGTTGAAAATATGTTGCAGTCTCAACGTTGTTTCAACGTTGAAA